TTAAAAAAAAAAAAAAAGAATGTATTCTTAAAAGGAATGCCCAGCCTACAAATGCTTAAGACAACAAAGATTTTCCCACCCAGCTGACAGGGAGTAGGTCTTCCTCTGGAGTTGGAACTATGAATTTGGACTTCTAGGCTCCTAGATTGTAACAGTAAATTACTATTTGTTAAAGCTAAAAAAAAAAAAAAAAAGAGAGAGTGTATTGTTATACTATTTGTGCAAGTATAAGTTAATTAAAACTAGATAAATCTGATTTCAGATTAGTTTGAAACAGCTGTCTGAAGAAACTCTCTCCACAGGACTTAAGTGTGGCTGTTAACATCCCTGGACAGGAACTTCTCAGCCAAGACGAAAAGCTCTTACACCACCCTCAGAGCTTAGAATGCCATAACAGTTACAAGAAACATCAATGCCTTGTAAGTTTTGCTCCCATATTGCCACCAAAGCTTTTTCTAGTATCTCTCAAACTAAGTTCCTCTCAATTTACTAACAGGATTCATTTGCAATGATAACTGTGTGAAATTACCTACTTAGTTAATGGTGCACAAAATGGGAATGGCAAGACAGAATTTTGAATTCATGTGATTTTAGTCAAGCCATTTAGGGTTTTCTTATAGTATCAAAGACAATTTTATTTACTTACCTTAGTTGGAAAAGGAAATTTGGAAGGTTCTGTTTTGCATGGTGTATGAATAGCCGTTAGAGGGGGAGGCCATGAATGCGTCATCTCCTGAAATGTAATTATACAATTTGTTTTCAACCAGGTCAAGAATAAAAATTATACAGCTAAGAGCCAGATTTGTATTTATAAGCACTAGTTTCATGATTGTTCCTCCAAACGGCTATATATTTAATCAGTAATATTAATTAAGCACAGTAACGTGCAAAGTATTCTGAGGTAATAGAAGAAAAATAATATAAACTCCTTGGCTTCAAGGAGCTTACAGGATGATGAGACCTGTGAATAGTTAAGAGTTAGCCTGTAGTCAGCTACAAGACACATAATAAATAAAGCACTACTGAGGAAGAGTTTGCTGTGGAAGAGAAAAGAAAGGGAAAATGATAAAGAATACAGTTAACATTATCCTGTACCTTTAATGGGTCTGATACCAAGCAAAGTATTTCACATGTCTGTTACTCACTTAAGACTCACAATGACAGTATATACCATTATTAACCTCACTCTACAAATGATGAAACTGAAGCACAGAAGTTACTTATCTACAGACAATTAGTTAATGATGGACAGAAAATTTCATGCCAAAAATTCTGGCTATAGAACTTATGCATTAATAGGAAAATTTGGCCAGCTGGAGAAAATCAGAAGTTATTTCAAAAGCACATGAGGAGGAAGACAGACAACTAAGGCTACAAATTTGTGCCTTCAAATCATGAACCAAATATGTCCAAAGGGACGTTTGGATAAGTAAGTAAGATCACAAAGTGTATGTTAGAGGAGTAAAGGAGAAAGATATACAACAGAATTAGGAGGAAGTGATTTGTTTCTTGTATTTAGTTCAAAGTCAGCCATCAGGTAGACAGAGAAAATACAGTAATTTAAAGGTGGTACTAACTTCTTGGGGTTATGTAAAAATCCACATTTATAGGGCTCTCACTTAAAAATGGAAATTACCTAAGTCTCTAATAACAAAGGACAAATTAAACACTCTCAGACCTCCATGTAAAGGAAACACCAAGCAGACATTAAAATGAGAAACTTAAATATTAATATGAAATGATGTTGACAACATATTGTTAAAGGACAGTCATTATCAAAGTCTTACTAAATGTTTAAATATGCAAAAAAGCTCTGTATAATTAACAACGGCTAGCTTTGGGTAACAGAAGGGCATAAGGAAAAATAGATGAAGGTATTTGATACTGTCTTTACTGCTTGAACCTCTTAGAATAGTCACTTGCATTTGTCATTGCTCTCTATTCTGTTATTTTTTTAACAGAATTTTACTTCCTAAAATATTACCTTGCTAAAAAAAATTTTTAAAAAATTATCTTGATGATTATTTCCTATCCTGTTCTAGAATTTAAGATGTACAAGGGTCATCAGTCTTATTATCACAGTATTCCCAATACTAAAGCTTAGCACATAGTAGATGCTCAATTAATATGCCCTGGATTAATAAATCCCTTTCTTTCCCAATAAATATATATATTCTTGAAATGAACTTTCTTTCATTAAATTTATTTTAGTTCATAATGCAGACCTGAAGTTCCCTGCATACAACACATAGGAGAGTGACATGGAAATAAAAACTCAATTAACGTCAATTTCTCAGTATTGGCATTTGAGATGTCAAATGCCAAAATACTCTCAATCGGAAAATTAGTTTCATTATCCAGATATCAAAAAATGACTGAGCATTTATTACAGGAAAATTCATGTGTCAAGTTCTCAGCATAAATGGTTAATGATATTAAGAGATAACGAAATAGAAACCCTAAGATTTCTTCCATATGTGAAAATATTAACATTTCATGCATCTGTGAGGATCAAGGGAAAAGAAATATGCTACCATACACTTTTTATATACATGTCAACAGAAAAATGAATGCTCTATTAGAGTTAAAGGAAAAACAAAATCTAGAAATAACTGAAAAGGAGAAATATAACCCAAGAAAGTTTACATTTAGGAGGTAAAAAAAAGCATTTGGCTTAAGGAAAACTAATCTAGCCAAAGAGGTGAATAAGTAGCACAAAATACTAAAGGACTGGTCTCTGGAAGGTCTGGAAATTGCAATTTGGACACGACTCTTTTTCTGAGCTCTAAAGAGACACTGATAACTTTACAGGAGTAAATTAACTCATTAAAAACAAAGTTTTAAGGAAAAAAAAACCACCTGTAGTAAACCACTTAGTAATACAGAAGATAGGTAAGAATGCCATAGTAAGAAAAACAGAGCAAAAAATATCTTATATTTTCAAGCTTAATGTGGCAGGACTAGAAAGAAAGAAAGATACTTGAAAGGCATTTTTAAAATCCTATCCTAGTTTTGTGATTAAAGGAGTATGAGAGAAAAAAGTCAGTGATAATTAGGATCATACGGAGAATGGAGGTACTATTAACAGAAGGAAGTTTGAAAAGTATGGCTTTAGATTGAAGCAGCAGCAGGAAATCCAAATGGAAATAAGCTAAGAGCAATTAAGGGACATAAAGCAAAATTCAAAGGATGCCAAGACAGAGAAGGAAGACAGAATATCTGCCTAACAGATAAAGCCAAGAAAATGGAGGGGAAAAAAATCAATCTCAACACTTAAGCATAGATAAGAGAGACACAAATGTTCCACAAAGACAGAGAAGAAAAGGCAAGTAAAGTTGACAGAAACTGACAACAATGAAACATAAGATAGTGAGGGAAGGAAAAATGCTTCCAGAAGGCAAAAAAATGTAAAACCTCTTTAAAATATTAGAGAATGTATAAAGAGAATGAAAATTCAAGTGAAACTCCTGAATGCTGGAGAAGATTGTGATCTTAGAGAAACAGGTTTAGCAGAATTACTGAGGTAAAAGAGATTACAGTGGATTAAAGGAAGGAATCCGAGAGAACAGAGTAGGAGCAGCCAATACTAGATAGTCTTTCAGAAGTATTACCAGTGAAATTTAACCAGAGACACAAAAATGCAGCAGCTTACCAAAAAACAAAAACAAAAAAAGGAACACAAAGCCCAAGAAAAAACAAGTATTATGTGACTTATAGGTTATCTTTCATCTACTGAGCAAAAAGTAGTTTTTGCCACTCACTAACGTACTGGATATATAGTAGCTTTTTTCTCAAAGGAGGAGGTAATTTTTGGTCATATGTCAGTATTAAATATAGTCTATCAAAGACTCAAAATGGACAATATTCAGACATGGTTTTTTGTAAGATTTAATCAGAATGTTTGGATACCTTGCAAAGTAAAACATTTTCAGTATTAACAACCTGACAAATTGGTATCTTTAGCACTTCAGATTATTAATTGATAAACCTGAAAAAGTAGTTTTACTTGGTTTCTTCTTTTTCAAGGTAAGCTGTAAGAATGGAATTTGCACTACTTAAAACAACAAAAACTACAACTCTTTGAAGATAAACTATGTGATTCAGAACCTAAGTGTGAACGTAAGGGGGAAAAAAGGTCAAATGACATTGACTGACCTAATCAAGTAACACAAGGAAGCAACCTGATGCTTCAAATCCTTTGAAAAATACAGGGAGGAGGGGAAAAGAGTAGTAGAGCATCATAATTAAAAATTTTAAAAAGATACTATTAAAAAACAGATAACTTACTTTAAGGATTTCATCTACACAGCTCACATCACCAGAAGCAGATGCCTTAAAGAAAAAAGAAATACACACTGGATTTAGAGTAATTTATTACTAGATTATCTTCTGCTGCACAGACATAAAAATATTGCTGGAAATAAAATAAAAATTTAAGAAAGTATTTATAATCACACTACTTCATACCAAAACACTAATTATAAAGTCTATTTCCTTAGAATAAACTTTTTAAGCAATAAAAATTTCTAATCACCAAATTGAACATGATTATTAAATTTTATCTTCCTTACATCTAGATTTTGGTGGAAAAGAGTACTATATTTAAATGGAGTCAGCTCTAGTGACTTAGTGGTAAGGAGTTATTCTGTCAACCCAAAGGGCAGAAGGTTCAAAAGCACCAGTTGCTCCATGGGAAAAAGATGGGTAATTTATGCCTCTGAAACTCGATGGAGAATCAGCTATGAGTTTGTTCCTACTTGACGGTACATTACAACAATATACTTGGATTAGAAAGAATTTGTCAAACATACTTCTGCAGGTGAGCAGTTTGTCAGCAAATTTTAGTTTATTTATACGCAATATAGAACTAATATTCAGATATATCATAACTTAATAAACAGACCAAACCCATACTTATTTTTAAATAAACTTTAGTAGATCTTTAGATTATTGTTCTGGAACATCATGGTTATTTTATATTTTCTTTTATTCTTTTATTATTTTTGTGTGTGTGTACCGTCAAATCAGATCTGACTGGTACAGGAGAAGATTTCCTCTCCTTCTCCAGCATAGCATCTAGTGGATTCAAACACCGTACCTCTGGGTATATTTTATTTCTTAACTCACAGAAACTAAGCTGCTTATTCTAAGGCACAAACAGGAATCTGAAACCTGAGATTTGAATTCAAGTCTAAGTCTGAAGAAAATAATGTTGGAGAAAGAACAAATTACCACTTTATTCTTTTGAGAAGCGTAATTACATGACAAATGTCATTAACGATGAGTTTATCAAGGCAAGAAAGACTTCTGAATGCTCTCTAAAAACAGATTATTTATCTTCAATCCCTCCTGAACCAGTCTGAGATCATTTGAATAATAATGAATCATTCTGGCTACTTACATTATTTAAAAAAAATTTTTTTTAATTTTTTTCACTACAGTGAAAGACAGTATTTCATTATTTCACAAAACATGCTTCAGTGGTTAATTTGCATATTATATTTTTGGTATACTATAATGAATACTGTGAATTTCAAAGCATCACTAAGATGTTTCAACCAGATAAAAATGTCACAGCACCCTAACTATACAAAATTACCACCTCCATAGGGAAGAAAAAGTCCCAACATATACTCATTTACTCAAGAGTCACTATAGAAGTAACACAGAAATCAATTTTCTCTTTACACAAAGAAAACAGGTTATTCTCTCAAAACAGAAGGAGGAAATCTAAAAGAGATGGATAATGGTTCATTCCTTTTATTTTACAGGTGACCTGTCATTTTAGTTTTTTAAAACCATGAGGAGTTTTTTAAACCCAAGAGGAGGGCTGAACAGCTCTATGGATCCACTTGAGAGTTACTCAAGTGTTTTTAAACTCTTACTATTTAAGGCAAAATAAAAGGAAGTTAAAAGTAAATCTTCATTTATTATTTCATAATAAACTATTTCACAACATCACAATTCTAAAAGCTCTAAGTGAGAGACTTACATCCAGTGGTTGGGAAGGTATTTTTAGCTTGGTGAGATGTGCTTTGCTGCTAGGCTTCAGCTCAGTCATGCTATTGCCATGAGACTGGCTGCTATAATGCTCAGTGGACAGCTTCGGTTCCATGGACTCCTGTCCATCCATGGGCCGCACATAGGCAGTGGGTTTCTGTAACATTGAACTGGACTTTGACATCAAGGAAGGGGGGAAAGACTGATTTGAGTGCTGTCCACTTGAAAAAGGTACACGGGAAGGAGAATCCCAGTTTGCATCAGCGTCCCGAGGTGATTTGGAACGCTGATGTTCCTTACTATGATGATCATTCCCATGAGACCTGGAATGACTGGAACTTAATGAAGAAACAGCCTGGGGTTTTCCAGGGCTGGAAGAGCGTGATTTGGAGTGTTCTGACCCATGCTGGCCTTTTTTCCGGCTACTGCTCCCACTACTACTGTATGAGTCACGATCATGCCTCTGGCTACTGCTACTGGTGCTGCTACTGCCACCTGCACTGGTCCGCTGACTGCTGTGTCCACTCTGTAAGCCCGAGGACCGTTTCTGAGACTGAGAAGTGCTGGGTGCAGGTCCTACTGGAGTCCATTTGCTACTCTGATGTGAACTTCCATGTCTCTGTTCGAAGAAATTTGGGTTGGATTTTTCATCTGTTGGTGGTACTGTAGGCTTGGGAATTGCAACAAGCTTTGGTATAGATCTGTCCCCTATGAAATCCTTCATTTCATCGTAGTTTCCAAGCATACTCTGAATGCGACTTGACAACTTGTCTTCTTTGCTGGTCTGTAAAAAAAGATAAAATCACGTAATTAATATAATCAGAAAGAATGTATTATTATAGGCTGACCTTCTAAATTTCAAACAGAAAAGATGTTATTTTAAAGAGAAGGTTCAGAATGAAAAATCAACTTCTTTGCAAACTCTCATCCAAATTACAATTTTTTAAAGTTTGAAAAAAATAGAAGTTTCATCTCATACCCTGAAGTTAATATCTAGGAACAACTCCAAATACACACAATCTTTATAGTGGGGAAAAAAGTTTATTTAATGTGTCTAAATAATCTTGCTAAAATACAAATATTCTATGAGACAGCTGAGAAACAGATTGCAAAAGAAAAAAAAATCCAAATCTCATCAATAAGCAAATATACTAGCCAGTGGCATAGTCATTTGAAAAGCAGGAGAAAAAAAGAAAAATCAAGATATGCCTTCACATAACTTTATGCACCATGTCATAAAATGAGCCAACATTCATCAATTGGGTGTTTCGTCCTTGTAATTACAATTTTATGATTAAAAGAAAACAATTTGGTTGTACCCGACTTTTAAAAAATTCTAATAAAAGTTAATACTATCAAATGAAGGGGGGGAACCAACTTGTGATAAAATCTTAGATCACGGCTATTCATTTTTACCAATAAATGTTCCAATCTTTGGGGTCAACAGTACTTTATTTTCAAACAAAAGAATGAATAAAATGCAGCCGGAGTGCTCCTTGGAAGCAGACGGTAAAGCGTCATCTCACATACTTTGTGCATCTTGTTAGGAGGAGCTGTTCCTTGGAAAGGGACATCATGCTTGGAAAGGTAGAAGGTCAGTTAAAGAGAAGACCCTCAATCAGATGTAATGACACAATAACCGCAGCTATAGGCCTAACTATGTCAGAGATTGTGGCAATGG